CATGACTAATTGAGACAGTCACAATTGTAAAGGTATAAGTTTTGTAACAAAAATGAGGGAGTAATTAACCTTAGAGTCCGGAAACAAAGGACTCTAAGACCATCAAGGGAGAACACAAGTGGAATGTGATACCTTATCCACAGAAGAAGCGACACCAGAGATGGAGGCAGAGATGGGGTCATGGAGAGGGGAGTGGCTGAGGACTCTAGATTCATGGGAAGAGATGAACTAAAAGCTGGTGGACAGAAGGCAGACTTGCAGAATGTACCCTCTGTTGGTATAAATTATTATATATGCTTGAGTGTTTAAAAACACAAAAGAGCTAAAGTGAATAGAGAGAAATACCATGGTACATGGAGGGGATTATAATCATTATAATGAAACAAGGTATATGATTTGTTGAATGTAAAACTGATGATATGTCCTGTAAACTTTCACTTAATCCACAATTCCACAATAAAAACCTAAAAAAAATGAACTGATGCAGCAGAAAAGGGAGAGAGCTAAGTCAGGGCAGACAGCGGACACAGGTCTTGAATAGGGAGCAAAACCCAAGCAAGCTGCTTCAGAAGTAGCCCTGGCTGTAATACAGCGAACAGGGAAGTGGTGGTAGCTTCTCTACAGAGGGAAGCAGCCGTGTCCCTTTGTTGCTTTTGGTACATGTGCATCACACTAACACATACCCTGAGACACAAGCGCAAGCAAACAATTGCAGGAATACAATAGAAACAATCACCATAATTATCAACTAGAACTTGTAAACTTATCAGCTATTCTTTTTCAAGGCTGTTATTTTCAACACATTATGAGTTAATTCCACCATTTAAAATGTTTATGAAACTACTGCTTATTTTAAGAGATTATGCAAAATCTTATGTAATATGAGGTCCTATCATTAGCACTGAAAATTGCCACTCCAATTAATAATGTTCATATTCAGTTACATTTTTTAAAGAGAGAACTAATCTTTACAATAATGACAATAACAATGTATTTCCTAATAATATATGTCAGATGCTAGTATAAGCATATTATATGTTTATATTAATGTTAACTAAGGAGTCCTGGTAGCATAGTAGTTACAAATCAGGCTGCTAACCTGAAGGTCGGCAGTTCAAAAATACCAGCGGTTCCGCGGGAGACAGATGAGGCATTCTGCTCCTGTAAAGACTTATAGCCTCGGAAACCCTGTACAGGGTCACTATGAGTAGGAACCAACTCCACTGTACTTAACAATTAATGTTAACTACACCAAAATAAGGTAGGTACTACTATTACCTTGGAGTCCTGGTATGGTGCTTTAGGATAAGCATTAGGCTGCTAACCGCAAGGTTGGCAGTTCAAACTCACCAGTCGTTCTTTGGAAACTCTATATAAGGTCACCATGGTTGGAACTGACTTGATGGCACACAACAACTATTACCTTCATTGGTGTTGTTAAGTGCTGTGGAGTCGGTTCAGACTCACAGTCACCCTGTACAAGATTTCCGAGGAGTGCCTGGTGAGTTTGAACCATCGACCTTGCAGTTCAAACCGACCTTGAGATCGATCGCTTATCCCCTGGTGCTACACCAGGGCTCCTTTACAGGTAAGAAAAAAAGGTACTAAAAGTTAAGTAGTTTGCCAAGGTCACAAACTAATAAAGCAGTGTGGCTCTAAGTCCATATTGTTCTTAATTATACTAATCTGCCTCTGTAAAAGTTTATATCAACAGCTTTTACCCAGTGACCAGAATGTACAAATACTCACAATGGCTACCTAAAAAGGGTTGAAAAAAATCCATTATATTTCAATTAGACAGCCCTTGTAGCACGACTGCATTTTCACATTTTAAAAATGTTGCTCTACTATCTAAGCGAAAAGGGACATACAGCGCTATGCATTTATAAACATAAAATATATGTTGTTGTTGTTTTTGTTAAGTACCATGGAGTCACTTCCGACTCATAGTGACCCTGTACAGAGTTTCCGAGGCTGTAAATCTTTACGGGAGCAAAAAGCCTCATCTCTCTCTGGCGGAACCGCTGGTAGTTTCAAACTACTAACATTGAGGTTGACAGCCCGACTCATAACCAAAATATAGAAACATAATAAACTTCAGACTTGGTGACAAATCATTGCAAAATGATAGAGAACATTATTTGAAAAACAGGGCTATGAATAATCAAATATTGGTAATAATGTGTTTTTAAATTAATGATACCACCTACACATTATTGTAATTATTCTTTGTAACATAAAATACTAATTAAGTACTCAGACTGAGTGGAAACACAATACTGGTATTAAATGCTGAATCTAATTGCATAAGGTGCAGCAGCGATTTCCCTAAACATCTGCTGGGTAACTGCTTCATGACTTACATTTAACAACGTCTTCCAGATAATTTCCACATTAAAAATGCTGCCCTCAAATCTCTCAGTCACTAGAAAATATGGCTTAATATGTGAAGACACATATTTTAAAGAACCTGTCAATAAGTTTTAATGATACATTTTTAAATGTAAGTCATCACATCTGCATTCATAGTTCAGGATACCAGTTTTTAAAGCACAGAAATTTTTCTGAACTATGTATATATTTCTTATGATTTACACTTATCATAGACTCACACTCAAAGCGGAACATTACATTTTTTATAGATAATGTACACAGAAAATCTGTTTACATTTTTAATACACTCCGTTTATTGAGGTGTAACTTATAAATGATCAAATTCATAAATTTTAAGTCCAGAAATCACTGAGCTTCACAAATAAACATTTTCATCATCCCAGAAAGTTCCCTTGTGTTCTTCCCCAATTTCCCTACACCCTAGAAGCTTTAATATAGGGAGATGTTGTTAGCTGCCATTGCATCGGTTCCAACTCATAGCGACCCTCTGTACAACAGAACCAGACACTACCCTATCCTGCACCATCCTCACAATTGTTGTTACACTTCTGCTGCCACTGTGCCAATCCATCTCATTGAGGGGCTTCCTCTTTTTTATTGACCCTGCACTTTACCAACCATGAGGCCCTCTTGATAGCACATCCAGAGTAGTAGAGACAAAGTCTCACTATCTTGGCTTCTAAGGGGCACTGGCTGTACTTCTTCCAACACAGACCTGTTTGTTTTTCTGGCAGTCCATCAATATTCTAATCCCTTCAATAGTCCTCCAATACAACTCAAAGGCATCAACTCTACGGTCTTTATTCATTGTACAAATTTTACATGCATATGAGGCCACTAAAAATGCCATGGCTTGGGTCAGGAGATTGTTGTTGTTAAGTGCCGTTGAAGTTGGTTCCGACCCACAGCGACCCTGTATAAGGTCTCCAAGGAGTGGATGGTGAGCTTGAACCACTGACCTTATGGTTCCAACCGACCTTGCAGTCCAGTGCATTAACCCACAGCACCACAGTCCCTGCAATTCATTTGTGGAGTCCTGGTGTGGTACTGTAGGATAAGCATTGAACTGATAATCACAAGGTTGGCACTTTAAACCCACCAGCATGCCCCTGAAAACTCTACACAGGGTAGCTATTAGTCCAAATTGACTTGACAGCATTTAACAATAAGAAAATTCTGATTACTATAGCCATAGATTAGTTTTACTAATTCTATAACTCTGTTGTTATTAAGTGCCGTCAAGGTGATTTCGACTCAGAGTAATCCTGTATAAAGTTTGCATGGCTGTAAATCTTTATGGGAGCAGAAAGCCTCATCTTCCTCCCATGGAGAAGCTGGTGGGCTCAAATCGCCAACTTTGGGGTCGCAGTCCAATACTTGTCCTACAGAGCCACAGTGCTCCTTCATTTATCATGATATCATTCATTGGCTCAAGTGTGAGGACTTTTGTTTTACGTTGAGTTGTAATCCATACTGAGGCTGTATAGTCTTTAATCTTCATCAATATGTATTTTAAATCTTTGCTTTCAGTAAGCAAGGCTGTTATCATCTGTATATCTTGGTTGTTAAAGAGTCTTCCTCTAATCCTGATGCCTAGTTCTTCACATAATCCAGCTTCTTGGAACTTGCTCAGTAAGCATGGTAAAAAGGTATAACCCTGTCATGCAACTTTCCTGATTTTAAACCATTTGGTATTCTGTTGGTCTGTTATAATGACTGTCTTTTAGTCTATCTATGCACAGGTTCCTCATGAGCACAATTAACGTGTTCTGGAATAACCATTCTTTGCAATGCTAGCCATAGTTCCTCATCCCACACAGTCTAATGTCTTTTCATAGTCAATAAAGCAGAAGTAAACATCTTCCTGGTATTCTCTGCTTTCAGCCAAGATCCATCTTACATCAGCAGTGATGTCCTTTGTTCCATGTTTTCTTCTAAATCCAGATTGAATTCCTGGCAGCTCCCTATCAATGTCCTGCTACAACCAACCATTCTTATGTTATCTTCAGCAAAATTTTACTTGCATGTTATATTAATGATAGTTTTCAATGATTTCTGCATTCAGTTGGATCATCTTTCTTTGGAATGGGCACAAATAAGGATCTTTTCCAATCCACTGACCAGGGAACTGTTACAAATTTCTTGGTAAAGACGAGTGAGGGTCTCCAGCACTGCATCAGTTTGTCAAAACATTTCAAACAGAAATCCATCAATTTCTGGTGACATGGTGTTCACCAATGCCTTCAGTATAGCTTGGACTTCTTCCTTCAATACCTTGGATCTTGATCATATGCTACCTCTTGAAATGACTGAACATGGACCAATCTTTTGGGTGCAATGACTCTTTTGCTATCCCTTCCATATTCTTTTAATACCTCAGGCATCATTGAATATTTTTCTCAGAGAATCCTTCAAGACAGCACCTGATGCTTGACTTTCTGCTTAAGAAATGCTGAGTGCATACTGATTTTTTTTCCTCCTCAGTGATAGTATAGTTGACAGAGTAAAATACTATGAAGCCTGAACAAACTGAAAATCCGCATGTATCCTTTATAATTTAGTGCTGGAAGTAAACAAAAGCAAATTGTATTAGTCTGTATAAAACTCACCACTGACGAGTGGATTCTGAGTCATAACAACCCTACAGGCCAGAGCAAAACTACCCCTATAGGGTTTTCCAGGCAGTAAATCTTTACAGAAGCACATTGCCTCGTCTTCTTCCCATGGAAGGGCTGGTGGGTTTGAACCCTCAACCTTTTGGTTAGCAGCCCAATACTTAAAGCACTAGACAATCAGGGCTGCTTTATTTGTGTATCCAAACTAAAACCTACAGGCATCGAGCTGATTCCAATTCATAGCAGCCCTACACAGGGTTTCCAATCTGCATAGCAGCAGACAGCCTATTTCTTCTGTAGAGCAGCTACGGGTTTGAATCACAAGGGAAAAAAGACTATTCATTCTGCCTGATAGGCATAAAATACTTCTAGATAGAAATTAGTAGTAGTGGTTGTAGAAGGTGAGAGGATGGAGGAGGGAGACTTCTCAGTGAGCATTTTCTTAGGTATTTTTAAATGACAAATAATGAGAATATATCATCTAGTCAGCAAACTAGATACTATCTAGCCAGCAAACTGACATCTGGTGTGGCACTACAGGACCAGCACTGGACTGTGAACCACATGGTTGGCAATTCAAAGCCACCAGCTACTCTTTGGAATCCCTTTACACGGTCACTGAATTGGAACCAACTTGATGGCACTTAACAACAACAGTCAGAAAACTAAAGAGAAAAAGAAGTACGTCAATTAAAATACTTAAATTAAGATTTATTTGTCAAATTGGACCATATTATCATTACCATTATTGTTATTATTATATCCAGAGCAGATAATATAAAGCATTACTATAAACTTCAAGTTTGGTAAGGTGGAAGGTCACAGAGAAAGAAGAAGACCCCCAGTGAGATGGATTGGCAAAGTGGCAGCATCGATGGGCTCCAGCATGGTAACAATTGTGAGGTTGGCCCAGGATCAGGCGGTGTTTCGTTCTGTTGTTCATAGGGTCGCTATGAGTCGGTACTGATTCGATGGCACCTAACAACAACAACAACACAGACTTCAAGCAATAATTACACCAGTAACTTTACCCGTTACTACAATTAGGTTCTTTGACCCAGTGAGTTCACCTTCAAGTACTATTTTAAGGAAATAATAATATAAAAGAACCAACAACTGTTTTCACCTTTAATGCAACCACTGTGGGTAAGTGGTGAAAGGAAAAGAAAAAAATCTAAAATAAAAATTTAAATATAAATAAAACTATAAAAATACCTATTATTTTCTTTAATTATCCATGTACTACTGTCACGATCAATAGATGAATAGAGCTTTCCTTCCAAAAATAGCTGACCATTTAGCACAATGCTGATGTTATCAGGCAAAAACTGTACTTGAATGTCCTCCTTCGTAGTGTCTTCTGGAAGCCGGATCATTACTGTCAAATCCTCTTCAGTCTGTTGCCAGTAATACAGAGGTTCTACTGGGAAAAGAAAAGTGATTGATAAAGTAAGAAATGAGACTAGAACACAAACATCTCACATACAGAAGAACACCTATCTAAAAGAATCTACGCATACTTCCTAGTAATGAGCTCAAAAAACAATGTTATTTAAAAATACAGACAGATCTTTCCAAGGAACATTCACTTAAAGAGTTTTAACAAGTATAATCAACATTTTCCTCTTCCAGTTTTACCTAATGCTCCAGAAGACAAACACCCCAAACATTCTGTCATCAATCTTTATTCTCATTCCCCTCCTCTCTTCCTATCTTCATCCCTCTCCTCTTTCTCTCCCCACTACAACTCCACACAGTGGATGTCTAATTCAAAAGAATACAAAATAAATCAAAAGCCACTGTCTCACAACAAATGTTTCACCACTGCTCTGACATGCCAACATTAGGACAACGTCACTCTGTGATGCAGGAGATGATATATTTAGTAGGATAGATACAAACACATACAAAGTTTTATATTTTCCTGGTAATATATAGCTATTACTTTGTTGCATATAAACAGTACCACAGGAAATTCAAGGCTGTCAGCATATTCCGTCTAATCCCCAATAAAAGACGCTCCCCGCACCTCAGTATTTATCTCCTCTGCCTGTCTCTGAAAGCTAGCCACTACAGAAACATGAGCATACTATAACTATGGCAATAAGGAAATAAGGTGTAAAAGCAAAATGAGTATTTGGATACTAGCACTCATATACACTGACGTGACTACCCTCTTATTAGGAAATAATATAACAGTGGTTAGAAACTAATTTAAAAATCTTTTCTGTAACTACACAGTTATTAAATTTAGTTCATAACATTTACCTGGTATAGTTTACAAAACACTCTTCTGGAAAATGCAAAGAAAACTTAAAAATAAATATACAAATAATCATGTTACGGAGAACCCATAACCTAACCAAGAAGATAAAACAAGACAGAAACATGTATGCACATAAATATACACAGGCTCTATGAAGTTTAAAAGGAAGTCAGTCACCTTTGACTTTCTCTGACATTTCAACCTCACTTTCTTCACGATCCTGACCAGTGTGAACAAACTGGAAGCACTTGTAAGAAACAATCATTAGGCCATTCCCATCAGGCTCAAAAGCAGCATAATGTGGCACTGTATTTCCATGAAGAATGTCACGCTTAGTTATTTCATATTTTTTATGATCTGAAAGAAAGAAAAACAATAAAAAACTATTATGAAAATATTCTGAAAATACTGGTGTATTAATTTTAATTAAAGACTTAATTTTTCTGGATCTACAGTCAGCCCTCATGGAAACAGCAGTCAAGAAATCAGATGACCTGGTGTAGCGCTGTGGGTTAATGCGCCAGACGGCTAAGTCTCTTTGAACAGCAAGGTCGGCGATTCAAGCTCACCAGCTGCTCCTCGGAAATCCTATAAAGGGTCGCTATGGGTCGGAAATGACTCGACAGCACTTAACAACAACAACACTGCATTAGGCAAATTTGATGCGCAAGACCTCTGTAAAGTGTTGAAGAGCATACATCAGTTTGAGAACTAAAGTACACCTGACCCAAATCACAGCATTTTTCATAGCCTCATATGCATGTGAAAGCTGAACAATGAATAAGGAAGACAGTAGAATAATTGATGAATTTGAGTTATAGTGGTGGAGAAGAATATTGAAAGAAGAATATTGGACTGTCAAAAGAACAAACAGGTCTGTGTTTGTAAATTGCATGTAAAATGATAGGAAATTCCTATTTCATACATGAAGCATTAAACACAGTAGCACTCATTCATTATTGCCGATGGCTGCTTTTGTGCCTCAGCCACAGCTGAGTATTTGTGACAGAGATCATACAAAGGGGCTTTAAAAAGTTCATGGAAAAATAGACAATGTTTTTCACAAATGTTTTGAAACCCACTATGTACAGTACACAAAGTCTTAAGTCTTTACTATCTGGTTCCTTACATAAAAAGTTTGCTAACCCCTAAAGGTCTAAGTAGGATTCCTGGTGTGTTGCTATAAGATCAGCACTGGACTTCAAAATACAAGGTCAGCAGTTCAAACCCACCAGACACTCTTCAGAAACCCTATACAGGGTGGCTATGTGTTGGAACCGACTCAACGGCACTTAACAACAAAGTTTCCGTTGCTACTCTATTCCTCCAGAGATAAAATTACAACACTTAGAAAAAGGAACAAACAACTCATAGTAAGTGATTCAGAGAACAAATCCGAGAGATTGCTCAGCTTACATAAAACTATTCTGCCATATAAAGAGAAAGAGAAGAAGGGAAGAAACTGTTTTAAAATAAAAGGGAGAGGCTTCTAGGACACATCACTAAAAGCCTATATTAGATTATAAACTTGCAGCTATAATTAGGAAAATACTGTTCCATAGACATAAATAACAATTTAAGACTTACATTAAATAATTAAGTTAATTTAAAAATCGCCGAGAAACAGAGTAGAGCCATCATGGAGACACACTCCCTTAGTTTCTGTCTACAGAAAAAATACACAGAGTGAGTCAGTACTAAGCACTGGCAAACAATCAAGCCCACACTGCTAAGGAAACCCAGTTAACAGAGGAGAAAAATGCCTGTTAAAAGCTAAACACCCAGCTTCAAACAGACCCACAGCACGGACTTTTCTAAAGCACCTCCAGTAAGAAAAAGTAACAATTTTCCTAAATAGAAATAAACAACAAAGTTCAATTCAATTAATATAAAAAATCACTTTTGTGATTTAATTAAATAAAGGTACTCATTTCCACTATAGCGTAGTGGTTACAAATCAGGCTGCAAACCGCAATATCAGCAGTTCGAAACTACCAGCTGTTCCACGGGAGAAAGACGAGGCGTTCTGCTCCCATAAAGATTTACAGCCTCGGAAACCCTGTACAGGGTCGCTATGAGTCGGAACGGACTCCACGGCACATAACCACCACCACCACCATATTCAATTGATGTTGAAACTGTACTACAATTTATCATTGTAATTTAGATGGGTAGTAGTCCTTTAGCACTGTCAAGTCAGTTCTGATTCACAGCAACCCTGCATAGGGTTTCTGAAGTGTGGATGGTGGGTTTGAACCACTGATCTTGTGGTTAGTAGTCCAAGCTTATCCTACAGCACCATACCAGGATTCCTAGATATATATGATGGTAGTAGTTATGTGCCATCAAATCAGTTCCAATTCATAGCAACGTTGAATCGGGTTTTCGAGGTTGTAAATCTTTACAGGCGCAAAAAGACTCATCATGTTCCCACGGAGTGACTGATAGATTTGAGCAACTGACCTTAGAGTTAGCATCCCAGCTCATAATCCACTATGATACCAGAGCTCCTTTTAGATATATAAATGCATATATGTAATTCTTTTTGTAAAGTATTTGCATGTATTAATAAATATGCTTTTGTTATGTGCCTCTGAGTCAGTTCTGACTCACAGCAACCCTGTATAGTGTTTCTGAGGAGTGGCTGGTGAGTTTGAACCGCCAACCTTGTGGTCCAATGCTTATCCTACTGCACCACACCAGGACTTCATATATTAATATAAATATCTTAAAATTCTTTTAAAATTATGCAATAATAACATCTCCTTTTATACAAAATGCTTAACTGACTATGGAAACACTACTATTTTTTTCTGTTACCAATACTTGCTATTTAACTACAGATATAACTAAATTAACCAATTAGCAGGACCAAGAACCATAATGCCTAAAAAAGTAAAAATAGCTTGCATTTCACACCCTATCAGAGTGATTTATGATACTGTTATATTTACCTTTGTTTCTCTTACTGATAGTGACCCATTCCAAAGAAACATAGAAGCCACTGCCTTTCATATTCAGTTCCTCCTTTTCTATTCGAAGAAGCAGAGTAGCTATTGAGTGTTCTTCATCTTTTAGCAATGAGATACTGTGAATTATGATAAAAGGATTTCCAAGCTCTTCATTAAACATAATCTACAAAAAAACAAAAATTAAGACACACGCACACACAAATGTGCATATTACATAAATTAGCACAGAGGGAATCCACACAATTCTAACAATCCAACAGGCAATTTAAATACACAAGGAATACAAATTTTTTTTTCCTAAATAAATAAACATTTAAATAAAGATAGCAAAATTGAATAAGGTCCCTCGAAGAAAGCTTTTGTAAAATATTATGTTTAAGAGAAAAATGATCAGTTTACTTGACCTTAAAAAAAAGAAAAACATCTAAAAGGACAGCTAAGAAGTATCTAAATGAGAATGAGGACTTAAGTGAAGACAGTAGGCAGATCTCATTCTCCCATCTCTCCGCTTGACTCATCCGATTTAGCTCCGCTTTTTATTTCTCTCTGAAAACCTAGGTGGGGTCCTTGTGTGTGCCTGCTCATGAGTATTCTCTGTTAGTTTTGTTTTGTTTTTCTATTTGTTTAGAGAGGTAAGAGTCCAAAGATTTCAGAGGAAATCACTGTAAAAACTTTATTCCTCAAAAACCAAAGGGCCCATTTACCTTTATAAGATATAATTCGTCAAATATTAGTTAAAATTCAATCCTGAAGTTGCTTTTAAAAAAACAAATCTAAGTAGCATATACAGAGATAATATAAAATCGTATTAAATTCTTTTTTACTGCAAGAACACATAATCTAACTTTCTCATGAATGGACTCAACAATCCAAAGCAACAGTATGTGACGTAGCAGAAGCTGAAAGATTTAAAACACACATGAATCTCATTCTGATAGGCTGTGTGGTTACTTTTAAGCTGAAGGTGAGCTGAGTCAGTTTGTCTTTCCTGTTGTTGTTGTTGTTGTTGTTAAGTGCCGTCAAGTCACTTCTGACCCACAGCAACCCTGTGTAGGGTTTCTGAAGAACAGCTGGTGAGTTTGAACCGCCAACCTTATGGTTCAAACCAACTTTGCAGTCCAGTGCATTAACCCACAGAGCCACACCAGGACTCCTCTCCCCTTAAAACCAACAGCTTGATAGCAGATAAAATTCTTATTCATTTCTCTTCTTTTCAACCTGAAAACCTCTTCCAACCTTACAGGCAGCTGTGCTATATGCCACATTGCCTTACTAAAAAATAAATTAAAATCATTACTGGAGACCAGTTTACATTATGTTGATGACCCGTTAGGTACCCAGAACTAAAAACTACCTGCTGAGATTTAAACGGTACCAGTCTAGAGATTATATGCTGCTGTTTCCATCAAGTCGGTTTTGACTCATAGTGACCCTGTATAGGATTTCTGAGAGCAGTTGGTGGGTCTGAATTGCCAACCTTGAAATTAACAGTTCAGTAATTATCCTACAGTGTGCCATGCCAGGGCTCAGAGATTGGTACATAACTATATTTATGTTACAATATATTTTTCTAAGTAGGGAATATTCCAGTAAACTCACTATTCAACCAATGTTAGCACACCAGCAAATCAAGCATGAGAGTAGAAGGGAAAAAACATAACCAGTGTAATACTTTGGTCAACTCTTCTCCTAGAAGACATTACTGACAATGCTCAGAATAGCGTTTTAAACATATAAGGCACTCAGTAAATACGTGCTAAATCAATAAATGCAATTCCTGATAACTCAATGAAAACCATTCAATACAGGAATGATTCTGTTTTGAGTCTTGTTAAAGCTATATATTATATAATGAAGTTAAAGAAAAAGAGATTTAAAATACCATATATTATCAAAACCAAGAGATCATACTTAAATCTATTCTTGAAAAGTATAATTTAAAAATAAGTAAGAAGCTCTGGTAGCATAGTGGTTACGAATTGGGCTGCTAACCTCAGGGTCAGCAGTTCGAAACTACCAGCTGTTCCATGGGAAAAAGATGAGGCTTTCTGCTCCCATAAATATTTACAGCCTCAGAAGCCCTGTGCAGGGTCACTATGAACCGGACCCGACTCCACAGCACAACAACAACAAGTTCTAATTAATATATGTGGAATCCTGGTGTGGTGCTGTAGGTTAAAGCACTGGACTGCATAGTTGGTTTGAACAAGACTGCAGAGTTGGTTTGAACCACAAGGTCAGCAGTTCAAGCTCACCAGGCACTCCTTGGAAAGCCTATACAGGGTCACTATGGGTCGTAATCAACTCAACAGCACGTAACAACACCAATAGTTTATATATAATTTCTGGACTTTGCATAAGAAGACTTAAAACACACACACACACACAAAAAAAAAACAGAACACCCTCACCTCCCATTTTCCTGAAGCATTATTTCCACGTTCACCTGTTGCAATCAGATACAATCTTCCAGTTCCATCCGATAAGGTCACCCAGGTGAGAGAGGTGAAGTGAATAGATGCACAAAGGCGATTGTCACACACTGTCAAATCGGCAGGAAGTCGAAACACTTCTCGTGGTTTTCCTAAGGCAGTGTCCTGGAAAGAAGTCACACATTATGAACCATAACCCTTCCCTACCCCTGACCCGACACACAAAATAAAGATGTGCAGTGAACTGGGTTGAAAATATAGTTATGTCCAAAAATTCTTTGACAATCCTCTTTTCAACAGCATGGAGGTTAATCCCCCTTTCTTTCAGTGCGGGCAGTACTAGTGATCCTCTGCTAACAAAATCTGGCAGAAACAATGATGTGTGACTCTGAGACAGGTCACTAAAAGACATTATGCATTGCTCACTGCTCTCTCTCTTGGAATGCATGCTCTGACGGAGGCCAACTACCCTGTATGGGGACCTGAAGGAACCAGTAGAGACCCACATGGGGAAAACTACTGGCGGTCTCCTGCCATTAAGTAGCACACTGTAAGAGAATCAGTTAAAGCATTCCCTGCAGCCCTAGACGAGCCTGCACATGACTGCAGTCCTCGCTGATACTTTACAATCTCATGGACTACACCAAGCAAGACAACGCGGCTAAGCTACACCCAGATTTCTGATCCACAGAAACAGTATGAGAAAATGTTTGTTTCAAGTCACTTAAAATTTAGAATAATCTGTATGACAGAAATAGTTAACTATTTATTATACTTACAATACATAGTGAATTAGCTTTCATTCTTCTGTTGTACAGAGCCTACTACTAAGTTGTGTTTTAAGTCTTGTTGTTACTAGTATCATTCACAGTTAACCCACAGTTATGTTGCATAGGGTTTTTGAGGCTGTAAATTTTTGTGTGAGCAAGAAAGCCTCATCTTTTTCCCAAAGAGTTATTAGTGGGCTCGAACTATCTACCTTGTGGTTTGTAGTCTAGTGCTGATCCTACAGAGCCACAGTGCTCCCACATATTCAATTACACCTTCTTGCTCCTTAACCAATAGAACCAAAGAATAAACAACTGAAACTGAGAAAAATATTCTACATAAAAAATAGAAAAAAACTGGATCAAATCATCATGACTATAACAGTACAAGGAGTCTTGGTGTGGCACTGTAGACCAAGCACTGGACTACAAGGTTAGTTTGAACTATATGGTCTACAGTTCACACTCGCCAGTTACTCCTCGGAAACTATACAAGGCTGCTGTGAGTCTGAACCAACTTGACGGCACTTTACAACAACAACAACATAACAGTATAAAGAAAACAATATAAAGAAAAAGTTACCTGCCATCTATGTTTCATAAAAATTCCAGGTGAAAATTAAGTACTTTACATATTTCTCAGTCCAGGCAACCTCCATTTATGCTACTACTTTATCCTTTATAATCCTTATAAATTTATATTTTCATTGCTTTAAGAAGAAACATGTTCAATGGAAAGAAATTCTGCTTCTCTCTCAGTATCCTAAGTTGCATGTTCTGATAAAGATGGCCATATGCTGTTTCTTCAGAAACGGAAAGTTTCTGGACTCAGATTTCTCTAAAGGAAGTGAGGTGGTTTGGGCAGAAAGAACAAATCCTTTCTTCAAATATTGAAAATCAGGGAGTTGAACATGTTAAGAACCAGAAAACATGGGGGATACCCAACTGGACTTTAAGGGGAGATGGAGAAGCAACATTGAAATAGAAAAACAGAAAACTGCTTTTTAAATTAAGCCTGGATACAAATTGCAGCTTTCAGAAACTAGCTCTCTTTATTTTTTGCTGCTTTGATACTCAACTGACAGTTTGGCCACTTCCTGTCTCCTGGCAAATTCCAGTCTCCTGTTTGAGTCAATGTGAATTTGCACCTATTCATGTTAATCATACAAGAGTGAAGGAAAGAAATTTTCTGCCCTCAAGGAGCATACACTCTAACGAGAGGAAAAAAGCAATAAACAAATTACTAAAATAGTGAGAACTAGCTGATTTAAATGAAATTGCTGATAGTTGAATCCTCTGGTCTATAAAAAAGTGGTAATTTTATGAGTCAACCCATATATTAAATAGTGATGAATATTAATCTTTTAAATAAATCAAAGGAAGGGAAGAGTATTGGGGTGGATGGGGAAGTGAAGACACAGTGTTATGATGGAAAAATAGGCAAGCAGCCTCCGTGAAGTGTGTGATTTTTCGTACAATTTCATTAGTTTTCTTATGTCTTAATCATTTTAAATTTTTGACAGAAAATACATGAAAAAACTGACACTCAGGAAATAAACTTCTCAAACACTATAATACAACATTTGTATTTTGGTTTTCTTTTATGTTGTTTAAAGGGCTGAAGTGCAAAAATGTCAGCTTGGGGACTAAGGTGTGACTGACCCAAGCCATGGTGTTTCCAATAAGCTCATATGCATGCGAACGCTGGACAGTGAATAAGGAAGAATTGATGCTTTTGAGTTACGGTGTTGGAGGGGAATATTGAAAGTAACATGGGATGCCAAAAGAACAAATAGATCTTTGTTGGAAGAAGTGGAGCCAGAGTGCTCCTGCGGGGCCAAGACGGCCAAACTTCGTCTATCATACTTCGGACATATTGTCAGGAGAAACCAGTAGCTAGAGAAGGATATCATGTTTGGTAAGGTGGAGGGTCAGAGAAAAAGAGGAAGACCCCAGCGAGATGGATTGGCAATATGGCAGCATCAATGGGTTCAAACATGGCAACAATTGTGAGGCTGGCCCAGGACTGGGCAGTGTTTCGTTCTGTTGTGCATAGGGTCGTTATGAGTCGGTACTGACCCAATGGCACCTAACAACAACCATACACATAGACCTTATCAGATGGAATACACAGATACCCAACTGACTACATCTGTGTTAAGATGATGGAAAAGCTCCAATATCAGCCAAAACCAGGCCAGAGGCAGACAACAGAACAGACAGGTCAGCAAGAAGACAAAAAAGAAGGAAAAGATGTCAGAGAAGACACTGTAACTTGCTCTCCAATGTAGAGTTGCTAAAGCAAATTGAAGAAATGAGGAGGTAAAAGAGCTGAACAAAAAATTTCAAAGAGCAACGAGAAAAGACAGTTAAATATTAAAATGAAGTCTGCGAAGACCTGGAGCTTGAAAACCAAAAGAGAAGAACATGTTCAGCATTTCTCAAGTTTAAACACTTGAAGAAAAAATTCTAATCTCGACTTGAAATACTGAAGGATTCTATGGGCAAAATAGTGAGGTTGACCCAGGATTGAGAAGTATTTCGTTCTGCTGTGCATAGGGTTGCTATGAGTCCGTACTGACTCGATGGCACCTAACAACAACAATGTGCAAAATACTGAATGATGCAGAAAGCATCAAAAGAAGATGGAAAAATACACAGAGTCACTGTAATATAAAGAAATCGTCGATGTTCAACCATTTCAAGAGTCAGCATAAGATCAAGAGCCAATGATACTGAAAGAAGAAGTCCAGGGTGCATTGAAGGCACTGATCAAAACAAGGCTCTGGGAATAGATGGAATAGAAATTTAAATCTTTCAAAAAAAACCAATTCAGCACTGGAGGCACTCACTAATCTATGCCAAGAAATTTGGAAGACAGGTACCTGGCCAACTGATTGGAAACACTCCATTTCTGTGTCCATTCCAAAGAGAGGGGACCGAACAGAATGCAGATATTATCAGACAATATCATTAATATCACACACAAGTAATAAAGATAATTCAAAAACGGCTGCAACAGCACATTCACAGAGAACTGCCAAAAATTCAAGCTCGATTCAGACAAGGACCTGGAGCAAGAGATGTCAATGCTGACCTCAGATGGATCTTGACTGAAAGCAGAGAACACCAGAAAGATGTCTACCTGTGCTTTACTGACTATGCAAAGGCTTTCGATTATGTGGATTATGAGAAGTTATGGACAAGACTGTGGAGAATCAGGACACTTCAATGGTTTAAAATTAGGAAAGGTGTGCACCAGGGTTGTATTCTTTCACCATTTTTATTTAATCTGTACATTATTTAATCTGTACATTAGAGAAGCTGGATTATATGAAAAAGAACATGGCATCAGGATTGGAGGAGGACTCCAATCTTTTGCTGACCCTTTACTTGACCAAACATTATGTCTTCTCCAGGAACTGGTCCATCCTGACAATATGTCCAAAGTACAAAGTCTCACCATCCTCATTTTTGAGGAGAATTCTGGTTGTACTTCTTGCAAGACACATTTGTTTTTCTTCTGGCAGTCCATTGTACTTTCAATATTCTTTGCCAACACCATAATTCAAATGTATCAATTCTTCTACAATCATTTTTATTCACTGTCCAACTTGCACATACATTTAAGAATGAAAATGCCATGGCTTGGGTCAGTGGCACCTATGTCCTCAAAGTGACATCTCTGCTCTTTAGCCACTTGAAAGACATCTTTTATAGCAGATTTGCCTAATGCAGTATGTTGTTTGATTTCTTAACTGCTGCTTCCATGATCATTGATTGTGACTTTAAGGAGACTACTATAAATCAAGCATTTTTATCAACCTAACAGCACAGATATCCCTCTAATAAAATTCCACATTTGCAAATTTTTACTATAAAAATGCTTGATCCATGTAACAGGAAAGTTCATTGTTAACACTGAACATAAAAGACTGCCAATACAAATAGGAAATGAGCTAGCTGTTTTATACAGAGTGTGAAAGAAATAAGCAGCTATTAGTATCCAGTCTTTGGTGCAGCTATAAGCTAGCCTGACATTCACAACCATGTTCTCCTGTTAAACACAAATCATTTCACAGAGTACTGATGTCAGACAAGAGCATTGTGACTTGACAACTGAAGACAAAATCAAGATTATTCCATAATCGCATCTAAGCACAGAGAAAACGTAAGCATTGTCCACACCACAAAGATGAGTGATTGCAGCTTCTTTACTATTTACAGCTTTAGCTTCAGTCAGGTCCATCTAGGTAACATTTATCAGGATAGCCAATCATAGAATTAACCTGTTTCTGAACAGTATTCAATCCAGAGCAAAGAATCTTTCTTAAGCCCTTCCCTAAATCATCTAACACAAGCCAACCATATAACAAATCATTTCAGTTCCCTCAAGAC